CAGGCTTTGGTGGACATGGATTGGTATGGGGGGGACTGTGGTCAAAATGAAAGGGGTGTGGGCTAGGGAAGGGAGGAACAAGTCTTGCAGCAGAGATCTTCAGCAGCTGCAGTCCAAGGCTGGGGGTTAATGGGCAGGGTAAGGGAGGGAGGAAATAGTTTGCAGTAGTACGTATCTGGCGCCTGGCTCAGGGCGAAGAGGTGTCTTTTTCTCCGATACATTCCAAACTTAATCTGTATAAGGGATGCTGGACCTGTTTTCCAGCTGGTGATGCTCCCCACCAATAGATGGAGCCTCCCCCCAGCTGCTAGTGGTGTCTGCTCTTACCAGCACCACTAACACTGAAGGGGGCGTTTCCAAAAAATAAAAATAAAAAAAATGTATTTTTTATTATATAACAATGCAGAATCATGTTTCTTAAATAAATCGGATTCCTCTTTACCAGATTTTTAAAAACCTTTCTGACATCGTGTCCGACGAAAACGGGAAACAATCATGTGGGCGCTCCTCCCGTTTCGCTCGCTTCATCCCGACTTTTTTTTTTTTTTTCTCCGACCTATTCGTGGGGAGCAGCACGTGCTGGGAACCGGGCCCAACGTCCCTTATAATAGGAATCAGAGAGCGCAAATGGGTAACCACTGCCTGTACCCGGCCGTACCCAATTGTAACCGCCAGGCTACAGGCGGGTATGGGTACCCCTTCCGAAGGGGGGGTTGGGTATGGGCAGACACAAACAAAAGGTGGTGGTTGTCAGGGAGGGCACAATTGCCCTTTTTGGAGATCATGGGTGGGTAGGGGCAGGTAGGTGTAGGGGTAAAAAAAAAAAAAAACGGGTATGGGCGGCCAGAAAAAAAAATAAATGGGTACGGGTGGCCAAAAAAAAAAGGGGTGGGTACGGGCCGGTAGAGGTTCCCATCGGGTTACCGTGGTATACCCGATGTGAGTCTTGTAGCTTTGCAGGCTTTGTATTTTTGCTCAAGCATGACACTTTTCTCATATTCCAAATTTCTCGCTTTCCCATAAAGCAAACGTTTATTTTCGCAAAGGTGAATTTTACATCTCTTCATTTTTTATTTTTTTATTTTTTATTATTTTTAGACTATTTTCATATGTGTGTAACCCTGTGTATATAATATTTGTGTGTGTGTGTGTGTGTGTGTGTGTGTGTGTGTGAAAGAGTGTGAGAGAGAGAGCGTGTGTGAGAGTGTATGTGTGCGCGACAAACCGAGGGTTGTTGTACTTGCAGAGGGCCAGGGGCTATACAGGTTGCATAGGCTGCTGTAGCATATGAATCCATAGCAGCATCAAAGTGACCAGATGTAAAAACTGTTGCTGTTGCGGCAGTAGCTGCAGCAGCTGCCAAATCTTAAATAAAATAAAATAAAATAAAAATATTAACAATAATTAAAACTACCGCGTCAGTTCTGTGACGTCCAGGGGGTTGGGAACAGTTGGGGGTGGTTAAGGACAATTAGGGGCGGTCAGGGGTGGTTTAAAAAAAAAAAGTAAAAAAAGTTAGGGGCGTTTAGGGATAGTTAGGGACAGTTAGGGGCGGTTAGGGATAGTTATGGGTGGTTAGGGGAGCGTGGGTGACAAGCACGGGTGGGTACGGGTGGGTGCATACAATTATGGGTAGGTATGGGTGGGTACAGGTAAAGAAAACTTGGTAGGGTAAGGTATGGGTGGTTAACAAAGGCAGCGTTACCGGGAGCGTTGCGCCCCGCCCGACACTACGTACTCATGGAGACGGCGTGCGGCAGCGATGGTGGTCATTCTTTTTGAAGACCTGACGCTTAGCGCACGCGTAGGAGACCGCAGGAGCTTGACCACACCATGTCACAAGCTGATGTGGCAGATGGTCTGACTCCCGGTGGCGTTCAGTTTCTGGGAGTTCCACGTTTCACTCCATTGCCGCTGCGTTGCTGCACGTGGCATTTGGCCTGAGAGGCATTGGCTATGTCGGTGTTTATGGAGTACACTGGAGTTAGCCCTAGGTACCCTGAAGTGTGAATGATTTCAGTAACGGCCTGCCATTGCGGTACTGCTCGCCATCATCCTTGCCATCACCATCACTACCAGGCCGCGATTCGACACCACCCCGCTGCTTCCTATCAGGGGTGTTATTCGACATTAGGGTGTTATCTGTCATCAGGGGCATAGCTTAGACGTGTCATCAAGTACAATCAAGGTATAGCTATCGCCATCAAAACGAGGCTATCAGGGGCACTGTTCATTATCAAGTTGATGCTCGTCATCATCATCATCATCAAGGTTTGTCAGCATCATCATGAAGTTAGTCGTCATCATTTGGATATTATCTATTATCATCACTTGAGGAAAGAGTGTGATTAGTCATTTTTCATCACCATTAGGTCACTAGCAAAGCATAGGTCGTTATTTTCAGGAGGTTGTAGTTGTGCTTGTCATCCAAGTATTGGTAATTGCTCGTCATTCTAATCATCATTACATCTCTGTGTGGACTTTGTCATTACCAGCGTCATTATCGCAGTGTTGCTCGTCATTATCACCATCTGTAGCATCACCATCATCATCATTATCATTATCATCATCATCATTTTCATAAAAAATTTCCCTTAACTGTAATCCTCATTAGTGGGATGTCACTGATATCATCTGCAAGCGCGCCTTCTCGCCAATATCATCCTTAAAATCTCCAGTCTTAGGGTATTGTTCTCGGTCACCCATCCGATCACAAGTCATCAATACCA